ACGTGGATCTTCGTTTTCCCATGACAAGCATCACAGCTTTGGACTGAAAACTTCAGTCCCTCTTTGACTACGGACTGTGTCTGGTTGGGATGGAGTTACTTTTCTCCATACGGTCCCAGTTTTCAGATGCGTGACTAAAACAGCACTGCCAACGCACCAGTGTTTGGGCAATTGGTGAGTGGTGCTTGCACAGCCTCAAGAACTTGTTTTCCACTCCACCCCCAGAGCCTACTGGGCTGGGGGTGGGCAAGGGGCTGGGAGGGGACTCAGCCAGCACAGGTGACCCAAACTGACCAAAATGGGTGTTCCACAGCATACAATGTCATGCTCAGCAATAAAACTGAGGATAGTCTTTCTGTAACTGTTGCTTGGAGACTGGCTGGTCGTTGGTCTGCTGGTGGGAAGTAGTGATTGTCTTTCTATCACTTGTCAGGGTTTTTTTTTTCTCCCTTTTCTTCACTTACTAAACTGTCATTATCTCAACCCATGAGTTTTCTTGCTTTTGTTCCTCCTGCTCTCCCCCTTATCCTGCTGGGGGTGAGGTGGGGAGTCAATGAGTGGCAGGTGGGTACTTAGTTGCTGGCTGGGGTCAACCCACCACAGATTACCAAACTGTAACTGCCTTATCTGAAACGCCATACGAAGGGAACTTAGCTCCACGTTATTTTTAAAGTTTATTCAGAAATAGCTCAGTCATTTCAAAGAAAATGCTAGGAAAAAAAAATGTGCTGCATTCACTGGGAAATTTCAGCATCTTTTTATTGACGATGAAGGGCTGGAAACCAGGACCATGGGTTGCTGGTGCAGCTGTGTGCCTTCTGATCTCCCACAGATTCACTAACCTCCCCCCCCCAAAAAAAAAAGGGCAAGCAGATAAACTCAGAGCATCCTAGCCTGGATAATCTGTTTGTATATGCCCAAGGGGACTTGCTGAACCTCAAGGCTAGGTACTCCAAAACTCCCACTGCCGTGGACATGCTACATACCAAACCTGTAAGGAAGCAAACAATCCCCGTTGCTTTTCTTGCGAGCTAGAAGATGTTACAGTAATGAGCACAAGAGCTGGAAGCAGGGAACCATTTTGCTCTTGTAGTCTTAATACTGATAAACAGATAGCAAACAAAATAGAAATAAAAAGCTGCCTGGCTTAAACATAGAAGTGTAAACACGAGGTAGGCTTTGCATGGTTCAGATGGTAGTACTAGAGTGAGAGCCCAGGAAAAGTTTCAAGACTGGGAGCTTTGCTGGGATGAAAACAGGATGGAGGCCTGAAGACAGAGGAAGACAAGTTGGAGGCCAGCAAAATAAGATAATAAGTTGTGGTTTTTTTTAAAAAAAAGAAGGTTGCAACGGCAATCTTGAACATTCAGCAAGAAGTCCTAGGAGGGAAATAAAGTGAGGATGAAGGCAAGGTTTCCAAAAATAAAGGCAAAATATTTAGGCCTAGGAAGGCAGAGAGACAAGGACTGAAACAGGAAGATAGCATGTGTAGCCCCTACAGCCAAGTTTCAAGGAAGACTTAGTTTAAAGATTTCTAGAACAAAGGCTGTATTCTAGCTTGCAACCCACCTGTCTGCCACCAAGAAAATCACTCTTGATTGGAACAAGCACACACCTGAATAACACTCAGCTAATGAGGCCTCAGTAGGAATGAAGATTACATACAACACCTGGGAAGGAAACTACTAATACCACCAAATGTGGAGATAACATTTTTCCAAGTTCCCAAGCCCAGCACTTTTTAATGCATGTTTTCTGGCACTATTTTATTTTTTCCTTGATGACTGGCTCTATTCTCAGTTTATAAGATCCAAGTATGTATGACTGGACACATGGCAAGACAGTGGGTGTGATTTACAACATGCCATGACAATTATGTGAAGTAAATGGCTGCTGAATTTATGGCATTTGCATTTGTATTTGGTCAAAGGAAGTAACAGTGTTGTGGCTAATCATATTAAATCTGCTGTTACACAGACTTCCACCCCACTGACATTCTCAAACTTCACTTCACTAGATGGTTAGGGCAGGGGCTCCTTATGAGCAGATGTGAGCCCAGTTCCTGCTGCCTGAAGCCAAAGATAGGCATCACCTGCTGGATAGGCCACCCTTTGGGGCCATGGCCTCATCACACCATTAGAAACCAGCTCTTCTAAGTATCTCTAGTTTCACCTGTTGACAGTGAATGAGAGGAAGTAAGTGTTTTGCGGAGACACTCTGTGTACCTTTCCTGAACTTCTACAAAAAGTTACTCCTGATTTTCCCAATGACCCCATTTCTCCACGCAAACCTGCAAAGGTTCTCTACATCCCATTCTCCAATTCATTAATGAAGATGGTGAACAGTGACAGCCCCAGTATCAATTGCTGAAGAATGCAGTAATAATCAGACACCAGCTGGTCTTTGTACGACTGGTGACAGACAGTATCCCTCCAAACCCAGCTGGTCAGCTGATTTTCCACCCACTGTGTAGGCCACTTATCCAAACCATCTCTCTACGATTTGGATACCAGAATACTGTGAGAAACCACATCAAGAGCCTTGTTAAAAGTAAACAATATTTTCTACATTCCCCTTGTCTACAGAATTTGTGTCATCTCATCATAAAAGGTCATCGGGTTGGGCAGGTGTGATTTACCTTTTGTAAATCCACACTGACTGCTCCAATTCACTTTATCTTTACTGTATTTGTGTAGTCATGACTTCGAGGATTGTTCTATAATCTATGTGCAAAGAAAGAGATCAGGCTGGCTGACCAGTATCCTGTAGCTCTGTGGGTCATCTTCTTGTCTTTGAAAATGGGCAGCAAATGACATTTAGCTTTTTACATTTATCAGGAACCTCACCTGTGACTGACTCGGGGCACAAAGGCAAGAATGACAGAAGTGGTAGCTCCTCCTACTGACACAGAAAGTTTCCTAGAAAGGAATGGGAAGAGAGAAGATGGATGCCAAGAGGACAGCATGTTGCACACCCGCATCCTACAGTTTGTATCTGTCAGGGCTCAGTGAAGACCCCTAAGGGCCATGAGCCAGAAGCTGAGGGAGGTATCACAATTGGCAAGGCAGGGGCCTCACCAGCCAAGGCCTCATCCTCACAGCACCCAAGTAAGGCAAGAAAGACAGGGATGATAATCAGGGTCAAGCCAGAGTCCATATCACCAAACAAGCTTGCAGTGATGAAGGAGGGCCAAGGTGAAGCTGGGAAGTCAATCTGCAGGCCAGGATCAGATGCAGTGATGGTCACCAGGGTCAGACATAGTCTTGATTGACAAGGAGTTTCATAGTAATAACATAATCTGAGTCCAGGCAGGAAGACCATCCATGGGTCAGGGTCTGGATCCATGGGCAATTTCCATGCCCACACACAGGCATGACTGTAACAGGTAGACCTTGAACATAACTCAGGCAGGGACTAATGCCCTGGCTTGAATTTAGATGGAGCTCCTGGGCCCATGAGCAGGGGGGTAGGAGTAGAGGTCCCAGATATGGATGATCAGGACCATTAAGGCCTATTAGTGCTCTTAGGGCCACGACAGGTTTGTACTAAGTAACCCCACTGATAACAGTCATATTACAAGTCCTTTCGAATACAGGCAACAGGCAAGAAAACAGGCACACATCACATCCACGACGGGTACCTTCAGTGCTAGTGAGTGCCCTCACGCTCACATTTGCTTTAAGCAACATAGCACTCATTTTTTCCACAGTAGCCACACTGAGGTGGATGTCAGCATCCTGCCCATCCGAGGTGAAAGGTTTGCTGCAGCATCATGGCTTCAGTCAGCACCATAAGGAGGGGGAGAAAAGGCAACCAAATAAGAGCATCTGGCACAGTCCTCCTAGTGTGCAGCTGCATGCAGCCATTACACAGTAAGTGTAGCACAGGCTAGAGGCCAGCCCTAAGTGCAAAGCACTTTAAGTGCTTTAAGACAGCTGCTGAGCCAACACAGGAACCAAGCAGAAAGGATGTGGCCAGTCTGTCCCAAAGATCCTAGCCATACCAAAGCTGCATAGGCACAAGTCACCATGTAAACGTGGTCACAGAGGCAAGACCCACTCCTTGGTGTAAGGGAGGAAGATGATGTCGCTGTATCCACTGGGACTCAAAACTGGCACGCTCGTTTATCGGGTGCCAGGGTCAGTGAGCAAACTTCTCCAAATATTTAGAATATAATCGTCATGGGTCAATGGATTGAATAATTTTCTATTGAAAAGTATTCACCCAAGCATTTAAGTCAGCTTCATGTATCATTACATAGAACAAAACCCCAAAGAAATTCTTGACAGGAACTATGTGTTGTTTGTACTGGGTACACTTAAGGCTACAATGAATCTTCCTTAATTCAGGCAGTATAATAGAGGTGCTAAACTACCAAAAAAATGCAAAATAAAATCTCAGAGTTGCCAACATTATTACAAAATTCTCCAATGGCAACATTGCCCACAAACTACTAGTTTTATTATTTTATTTTTTGGCTGGATGCCTAAGACAGCTGTGCCAGACAGGAAAAGAGTTAAAAAACTCCCAAACAGTCTCTGGTTTGAGAGAAGAAATGTACGTATGATGGATGTGGACGACTTATTTCTCCCCAACAAGCCAATTTTTAATTCAGCATGCAGATTGAGCTAGGAAACTATCATGTTATGCTCCACTGAGTAATTATATCCAAGATGCCTACAAGCATATCTCTTCAGGAATGGAGTAGTACTGAAGGCTTTTTAAGCAACCAACCAGCTTCCAACTTTAAGTCAGAGCAGGGTTAAAAAAAAAAAAAAAAAAGATGCTCAAGAGAAAAACATTCCTGAGGTGTTTTCTGAAGTATAAGTACATGCTCTTAAGAGTTCCAGCTTTTTTTTGAAGAACTCGAGTCCAGTTCTCAATTGTAACTATGAAACCTTTTAAGAAGGATGATCTGGCACTTATTTTAAAACTGCTTCTCATCTACAGGAATATCTTCAATGCCGATTTAACTAACTGCAACAAACACAACTTATAACTTTTAAACCAAAAGAAGACAAGGCAAAGCCTTCAAAAGTTTATTTCCAAGTACAAAAACCGTTCAATGAAATATCTACATAGTCTTTACTTTCAGTATAAAGGTTTAAACAGATAGAAAGCATCAAGCCCCAAATTCCTGGGAAAAATAGGATTCAATTCAAAATTCTGAACAATGAAAAGGCACTTAAACAAAAGATATCCAGCAACAAATATAACTCTTATGTCACAGTGAATGTGTAGTCAAACATTATCTAACACTTTACAAAGAACTTAATTACAGTCTGGTTAAAATGAGCAACATAGTCCAGACAAGAGTGAATTCAAACTCCCTGCACTTCAACAATCACACTTTTCTTTCAAGTGTAAAGAAAGCAGAGAGAAGTCTTCAGTCAACTATCAGTTTACAGCATTGTGCTCAGATGAAGAACTTGAGAGTTCAATTTGTACAAAGTTCCACAAAAAGAAATGAAAAAAAACTGGGTAGCAGCATAAATACTTCACAGTATCGCCTGATCAGTATGTAAAAGTTTTTCTGAATGAATAAAGAAAACAGACTACGACAGTTTAAATGAGCTTGAGGTTTTTTTGGTCAGGATTCAACTATCTTTGAAAAAAAAAATAATAATTCAAATACGCCCAAAGAACCAGTACAATGGCATTTTCAGCACCAAAGCGTATTTGTGATCTGTGCAATAAATACAGAATAAGATCTCAACCATTCACAAATGAGGCAAGTGGGGGGAAACTGCCAACACCCCCCCAGAAAAAATTTTTTTTTTCAATTATCCAGAAATACAAAGTAAACAGAAAAAAGTATTTTAGTGTTGGCGGTTTTTTCCCCAATGATACTGAGTAAGACCTGTGATACAGGAGTGCTATCAAGACTTTTGCATCTTTTTTTCCAGATACATTTTCCTGTAGGTCCGAAACATCTCTTTTGAGTCTTTGATTGGAATGTGAAGAGCCTCACCATCTCCATCCAGGATCTGTATAGCTGTATCAAGTGGAATACAGTCCTCAGCTGAAAGACAGAGAAGCAGGTTAAAGCAAAAGTCCAAGAGTCTCAAATGATTTTACTCCTTATGCATGTGGTACTTAAGGCCACCCACTGTCAAAAAGGATGCCACAAACTTCCTTCCTAAAGCACTGAACACCTCAGATTTAAATCAACCTCCAATGCACTTCTACAAAGACAGGCAAGTGACCATTTGGTGCTTAGAAGAGATTTCTAAAGAGTATTAAGAAAGGTGTGAATGTAGATGCACATTTGTGACAGTAAGAGAAGAAACAAGTGGGCTCAAAGAATAGCAAGACATATTCAACAGCCATAGAGGATGTAAACATTACAAAATATGTTGCTTGCATAAAGACCACAACACAGACAACGTGCCGGAAGAGAACTTGCACTCTGATAAGAGGAGGATGGCAACAAGGTTATAGCATGCTGACCGCACCGTTTTGGTTCCTGTTAGACCAGTAGGAAAACAAGACTATAGCTAGAAAGATACAAAAAGCAAAGAAACAAAGACAGCACGGAGCAGCCTCGCCCAAGATTTACAAAGGATGAAACAACCAAGATCCTGAGATGAAAGATGCTGCTGTTGTAACTGTTGACTCCTAAGCGGTACAAAAGACCATCCAAAAAGAAATTTGCCAATCAAGAGAAACAAGGAAGATGTAGTTTTGGCACCACTTTTCCTCTGTGTGTCATACAAATAATCCTGTCCAGACTACTGGGACACACGGGTCCTAGTGCTATCCGAAAATCAGATTTGTTGCCCGGTGTGCAATGAACCAATTCTCACACACAGGAGAGAGTGCTTTTTATTCAGGCCTGGGTGCTTGGTGGATTTCCACAAACCAAGCACACCCCAGGTCAGTTTCCTCCTTATATTTATACAGAAATGTTACAAGGTAGTACACTCCCAGTTACAATGATTGGTAATTTAAATATAACATCTGCTGTGCCATTCTCTTCAATCACTGGGTCTCCATAGAGCAAGGGTCTTCACCTGGGCAACGGTCTTCTTGACCTGTGGGTGTATGTTTTAGTATTATAATGAAGACAGTTCAATTAAGGACGCCTGGACTTCAGTTTTCACTGCCAAACTGGCATTGTGTGTAGAAACATCTTGATTAGATGTTCACTTAAGGTTTTCATATACCAGGTAGACCAAATAATTAGGTTACAGATGTTCTTTCTAACAATTCCCTTTGATCCTTGCTTAGCAACTATCTACAATCATCTTTAATCAAGCTTTATGCACTGGCTCCATAGTTAAAGTTAAACCATGGCTCTGTAGTTAAGTTCGATGATAGATATCACCGGTACTTGTGACCACAGGTGTACGTGCAGACAAAAAAAAAAATCACTTTCTGCTTTTATACTCTCATGCTAGATTTTGTTATACCACTTCCTCCATTTTAAAGTTACAAAGAGCAAAGTTGGTCTTTACCTACAGTTCAAAACTGACTCAATTCAACTGCACATACATATGCAGGAAAATTCCAATCTCCAACATAGTCTTATGACAATAAAAATCTCCACAAATCTTTGAAACTCATATGTCTACTCTACAGCATCCATTTCAGCAACAGAGCTAGTCAAGAATAAGTTAAAATACCTTATTAAGATTTGCTACTGTAAAGGAACACTTAAATCCAAGCAAAGAGTATTTAACTTATGTTTCAAAACAGATAATCAGAAGTCATTTCACCTGCAGAGATCTCTTCCAGCTTTTTTTGCTTCACTGGATCAGATTTTAGCCAATCTTCTTTTTTGCTCTTGACACCTAAAGAGAAAACTTTAAAAATGTTTTTGAGGTTCTTATATCACAAGTTTTCATCACTATTCAGCATCAAGTTTTAATGTATACTAGAACACGCAAAAGGAAATTCCCTTTAGGTGTGAAAATGACTGCAAGGACCGGTATGGACAGGTGAAGATTTTATTTAATATCAAATACGGCATTTGACAAAAATATGCTTCAAAACATCACCTAAAATGTCAAAAGATTGGGGATAGGGAAGAGGAGGAGGTAAAAAGGCAGCTTAAAGCAATGATGGCAAAGATTAGAGACTGTGTGCACGATATGCCTGGCCCAAGAACCTTTTCTTCCTCAATGTTGGAAAAGATCCCTCCCTCCACTGTCTACCCAGCCAGATTTATACACAACCAGGTAAACTCTGAATACAAATCAGATCACTTTTGGTAACCATCTGCTTTCTGCAAACAGGCCAAGCTATCTCCTACAGGTAGGCTAGAAAGCTACTTGAAGTTACTTGAAATGGCCATGCTCAAAACTAACTTTATTCTGGAAAATTTAAGGAAAAGGAATAAAACGATAAATTGAAGGAAAAGTCAGTCTCATGTTCTTTTTCAGCTCAACATACAGCTACAGCCTGTCAAAAAGCTAGCTATTTCAGCCTTTAGAGCCCCACATTCTCACTGCCAGTAGTTTGGTGTAACATGAATTTAAAAATGCGTATATACTTTTTACTTGCATATTAATTTACTTACAAACTAATAATCAAGATATCATCATACCTGCCACAATGGCTTTCTCTCTCTCTGGGGAATTCTTTACAGCCAAGCTTTCTTCATCAGTGGTTGGGTTTCTGAACAGTATCTCTGGACACAGCTTAAATTCAAGTTGTTCCCGTTTGCATGATTTTTCAGCTTCTAAGACAGAATCATCTCTTTTCACATCTGGGCTGTTCTGTGACATTTTAGCCTTTAGATGCCAGGCAGGTCTGACAGGTGATGTCTCCAATTTTGTCAGATATATGCGTTCCTGTGCCGTACGTTTAAATGCAACTCTGTTCAGGTAGTGTTTTTTCGGTTCCTTTTGAAGATGCAATTTTAATCTGTTATTTCTTCTATTTAAGTATAGCAGGTTTTTATCAGGAAACATTTTCTCAGAGCACTTGTCTTTGTTTTGACCGTCAAGACGCCTCTCTTTGTTAGAAAAGTAGTTTTTAGAGATGGTAGAAGGTTGAGCTCTTTTTCTCTGTAGTTTAAGCACAGAGTGATCTGCTAATGAACTCCTTGATTTCCAGCCATTTTCTCCATTTAATTTTTTAGCTTTATCAGTATTTATCATGCAATTATGTGAAAGCTGCTTGGAATTCTTTGCTTCAGATTGTTTCAGTTTTTCCTCTTCCACCTTTGTTCTCTTAGAGTCTCTCTTCCCAATAATATTTTCCTTCCTCTTCCGTTTGTACAACTGGTCCTGTGAAGAATGAACTTTCATAGATTTATGCTGACAGTATTTCTGGTTTCTTGACTTTAAGTCTACAGTGCCCAAATTTGGGAACTTTATAGCGTCAGCACAATAATTATTCAGCCTTTTATGTTCTACTTCTGCTGATAATTTGGCTTTCTCTTTGATGTTAATTCCTACATCTTGCCCAAGTATCTCCTTTTGTTTCCTACAGTTCTGTTCTTCAGCTGAGTTCTCTTCACAGGTTTTATTTTTTTGTCCTTGATTAACTTTAGCATGCTTAATTTCAACAGTTCCTGACTTGGTAAATTTGTGAACATCCGTTTTGGATTTCATGGCCAAACCTGGTTTGGTTTTATCTTTAGAACAGGACTCCATTTTGAAAACTCTCTCTTTCTTTTTTGATAACATTGTCACGTTGTCTGCATCTGTATGACCTGCTTTCTCTGACAACTCCTCTGAGACTGTCTGATATTCTTTTTTGTCAGAATGAAAGTCTTTCCCAAACAATGGGGTTCCTCTGTCGACTTGCACCTCTTCCTTCCAGCTGCTCCTTTTAGATTTATCAACATCCTGTCTTTCAGAGGAATTAAGTAGTCCACTTTTTTCCTGTTGTGTTGTTAGTGGTTTGTACTCATTATTCACCTTTAGTCTAGCATCTTTGTTCATTACAGAAGTGTATTTGCAACTATCTTTTTGATTTTTGCTAACACTGTTCAAGATTTTTTCAGAAATTGGCAGGTTTTCCATTGTGCAGTTCTTCATTACAGCATCAGATTCACTGTTGTTTTCCTGTATTTCTGCAGTGTTAGTATTTTCAGCTTTTGAAAGTTGAGCATCATTTTTCTCTGAACCAGACGTTTCAATTTTACTGGGGTAGTGTGGCATTACACAAGCTCCAGATAAAGATTGTTCTTTAATGAGTTGGTTATTTATTTGGTTTCCAGAGTTGGAGGCATTTTGTGTTGTTTTTTTTTCCTCACATTGACTCTGACTAGGCTGAGCACTGCCTTCAAGGTTCTCCTTCTCAGCTGAAGCCTTTTCTGACTGTTGACTCACTATTGTCTTGCTGTCACCAGAGGAACACCAGTTGTGTTCGGGCAACAGTTCTTGCAGCTGATCAGAGCTTAACACTTCAATTTTCATCTGATCTACTGGGTCCTTCAAATGCGATTTCTTATCACAAATTTGAGTTTCTTTTTGAGGTTGATTCTCCATCCGCTCAGCCACCGAATCATTTTGTACTGGTTCTTTTGTTAACATATCAGCACCTTCAATGCCATATGGAAACTCTTTCATTAGTTCAGACAGCTGATTGTTTAGACATTTACTAGGTTCTGCTCCAAAAAGGTTAATCTCTTTTTCTGTACTGTTTTTACTGGACATGCAATTCTCTGTACTGTTGTCTCTTGGAACAGCTAATGCATTTTTTTCAGGAGTTACACTGATTGGGAGATCTAGTGAATTTTGAGCTAACTCCTGGTTTATACTAGCAAGAATTTCCAAGTCATTTTCAGGATGCTTGAAAGATGCATTGAATGACATTTTTTGTTCCGAGGTAGAAATCGTTTTAAGAGGATTGCCACTGCTTTCTTTCTCCAAATGACTAGCTGTGATACCATCCAAAATCTTTCCTGCTTTACTCATGCAGCTTGAAGGTTCTTCCAACATATTTTGCAGCAAGCTGCCTCTTTGGGGAGTGTTATTGCTCAGCTCATTTTTATTCAAGTCCAGCCATTGCTCCTTTTGCCTTGGGTCAGATGCACTTCCTTTTGATGAGGTGCCATTTAATACCTGAGCCTCAGGGACTGACCTGAAGATACTTGCTATTTGTGGATTATAAGATGTATCACCTTCAACAAGAGAACATACACTAGATATACAAAACATCTGTTCTTCCAACATGGCTGTGGAAGTATCTCCTGTCTCTAACACACCTTGCTTGTCATTATGGTCTCTTACACCTTCTTGAAAGATTTGACTAGAAAATTTTATGTCCGATTCAGGAAGGGAAGTCTTGTTTTGTAATCCAAGCTGCAGATTTTCTCTGGCATCTTGTGCTGATTGACTAACTTTCCTTTGGTTTTCATCAGATGAACCATTTGCACTGATGCTGTTTTTTACATTTCCATCAGCTAATTTGGTCTGTTGCAATTGTGAGTCCACATTCTGTACCAGAACACAATCACTGGGTGACAATCGAACAGTTTCTATTGTTCCTTTATTGGTATTTATCATAATTAAACTATTTTTGCCCTCTTCTTGCAAGCTACATGTGCTTCTTGAGTCAATCACTGGGTAGGTTTTATCTGCAGATGTTGGACATTTGTCTACTTGCTCGCTCTGTGTTTTCTGGTCAGAAAGTACTAAAGGAGAGACAACTGCAACTTGGAGTTCAAAACTTTTTACCGAATTACAATTCAATGTATCAAGTTTTTGTCCTACAGAAGTAGTTGTTACAGGCAAAAGTGCTTCATCTGTACTACCCTGAACATTATTTTGTTCTCTATTTTTTGTGGTTTGGCTGTAAGATGAAATCTGATTTGCTGTGGAGCTTTCATTTGACTGGCTATTTTGCACACTTACAGATTCTGACGGATGCTTTCTCCACAAGTCCAGGCATGCCGTTAGCTCTTCTGCAGAGTAACTATAATTACTCTGTTTAAGAGATGTATTTTCAGCAAACGGTGTTTTCTTCTGAGCTACATCACTCTGAAATTTAGCTTCACCAGATTTGGTTGTTTCTGATACGTGAGAGTTTGTGTGAACCGTAAATGCTTGCTCACCTTTTGAACTTTCTACCTTCTTCTTAGTGTCTTTTAGCAAGCTTCCATCCAAGACAGATATATCTGCCAGCGGTTTTTCACTACACAGGAGACTAGTTAATATTTTATCAGCAGTAGCACCAGCTGTCTTCTCTTTCAATACATTTGTGCTGCTCAATACAAACTGAAGAAACGATGAGGGCTTGGGGTTGGCCGGCACATTCTTTGGTGCAGTTTTAATAGAGCTATCCACTTGATTAAAACACGAAGCATTGTTCAAGGATGTCCCGGGTTTTTGAGAAGAGGCCAAGGCATTGCTTTGTTCTGAGATGGGAGCACTCACAGGATTATTTAGTTGAGCTGGGAGTTTGCTCTGAGAGGGAACAGGTGCAGAGCTTGATGAAGGGCTTCCCTGCTCCACCTGAGGGTTACTTTGAGTGACCTCTAATCCTCTGTTATCAGCAGCGGTTATGTTTTTGTCATTTCTTTCTTCAGGTGAAGAGTTAAGTATTTGACTCTCTCTCCTGGTCGCTTCAGATGGCGAAGATGGTACATTTTGGTTGGGCACCCATGGAACACAATTACCAATAGTACTTTGATAAGCTGGAGGAAGTGTTCGAGAACTTTTGTTAAGTCCTGAAGCTGCAAAGAGTTTTCTTTTATAACGATGCATCCTTTCAAGCAGGACACATTTTCTTTTAATACTGAGCAGCCTTTGAGCTTCCCAAGCTAGCGAGTCCTTTGTAATTGCTTCTCCATCTGCTGCTGCTGAAGAAATTTGAGCGTTACCAGGTCCACTCACTAAACTACTGGTCTGGCTTTCTTGAACTGAAGCAGGATCACTCAGTGGCTTTGAAGCACCCATCGAAGATAGAGTTTCCATTTCTTGCACAATATCATACAGTTCTTTGCAAATACGAGAGGATGGCACAGGCATTCCATTAAAAGGCTGATTTGCTGTAACATTGCCACTTGAATTACAGGCACTCCTAACTGATTGACTGACTTCTCCAGATTGCTGTTTCTGACAGTGTTGCTGAACACTGTTAGAACCAGAAGCGCTTTTTGGATCTGATGGGTGCCTCTGTTGGCCAAGGGTGTACCCATTAGGCACATTCTGAACTGCCTGTGGTACACCTATTGAAGATTGTGCTGCAGCTCTTGGATCACTGTTGGCAGGCAACAAAGACGGTGCAGAATATCCGCTAGGAGCTTCTGATCCCACCTGACCTGGTCGATAATGTAGCAGCTGTAGATTTGCTGGACTATTGTGATCCAGTGAGTGTGAAATTTTAAACTGAGGGTTGGGATGATAAATGTGGGGTTGGACATGTTGCCCGGATGTACCAAGAGGCACAGAATTGTTCTGAGAATTAACGTTACTTGGATATAACGTCGTAGTTCTTGCAGAATTATGCTGCGGTATTTGTGGCTGCACAGCGTAACTGTTTGTGGTGACAAAGTGAGGCTCCAGAAGTGCATTCCTCACATTATTGCCAGCGTTCATTTGAGAAGATGGGGGAGGTAACTTTCTATGGGAATAAGTGTAGGCATTAGAGATTGGCCAAGAAGTCTGAGCGATCTCCGTCCGCAAATGCGATGTCTGATTGGGAGGCTTTGAAGCTATTGGTACATAAGATGGATGTCTATCAACCGAGTATTTCGAGACAAAAAAATCATTACCAGCTACAGATGCTCCTGGTAAGGCTTGATCTGAAGTTTTGAATCCTTCAACATTTCCAAGAGGGAAGGCAACATTGCTGGCTGGCAGATACGCCATCTGGTTATTTCCAGAATAAGTGCATGTGTTTTTAGAGGGATAGGCATTTGTCTGAGGAAAAGTATGTCCGTTAGAGAACAGCTGGCTGTAACGCGCTTCTTCACTTTGCAGGTTGTTTTTCGCATCAGCATTCTGAGGTGGTTTTGCATTCCAATCCATCTTTTCTTGATTTCTTTTTCTTCAGCCAAAACCAAAAATGCTAAAAAAAATAAAAAATAAAATAAAATTTTAATCTTTTTATCAAAACCAATTTCACTTACCACGAAGGGATTTAGAATGCATTAGGAACAGAACAGCTGAACTTAAATTGTCAGGCGGAAAAGCAACCCCATTGGCACGTCCCACAGACATCAATGTTGTCAATGTCAAGTTGCATAAATTACTTCCCAGAACACAGTTAAGGTTCAAAAAGAGCAGCAACTAACAATTCTATTGACTGTCTAATGAATAACAAAATCCTCACACTTTTCTGCTAATTCTATTGTCATCTTACTTTTTAATGATAGATTCCTATATATACCTTAACCAAAAAAAAAAATGGAAAAAAACCCAGTGTATTTGTGCAACATGATACAATAAGCAATGCTTAAGAGCTGAGCACAAGCAGCAACTACCGAACATAATAAAAGTCAGAGTTTTCATATAAGACAACTGGATTTCAGTTATACATTCAAATACAACAAAAGAAAGGAGAAAATAAATTTGGGTTCAGTAAAGACCTTTCATAATAACATGGCCCACTTGTTTTTATTTTACATCTCATTTGCTCTTCCCTGACACTGTGGGCACTTACTAATTTTCTGAGAAACACAAGTCTGTGACTCTAGCTAACAGCACACATAGCTACAACCAAACCACCCCTATTTCTCTTTGGTAGCATTAACTTACTCAGCATGAAGCATGGAGATGACATCATTGCCTCTGCTGTTGCAGTTAAGTGCACCTCCAGGAGGTGCAAAGTCACACATCTCTAACTCTTCATGTTTTATATTCCAGAATTCACACTGATTGCCAACAAGCCCAAAAGAGTGAGCATGTTACTTCTGAATAACCTCTGGAAAGTTGTTAGAGACAACACCTTCAAAGTCAAACACTATTTCAGTCTTCAAAAATGGAAAAGTGCAAGAAATCCAGGACAATCTACAAGCATGAATGCTGTTGGCATCTCGGTAAGTTCCCTTCAGTATGGTCAAACCCACCTAGGGCAAAAAAAACCACCTCACTTTGGAACAGAGCTATCTTCCTTCACCCTCTCTTTTACTTTCTCTGCTCTCAAAGGACACCAATAACAGAAGAAAACAGGGAACAAAATCATGTATGAAATTCATAAAAAACCATCAACAACAGTATTAAAGCAATATTTATAGTGATGCAAGAATCCTAAATGAGAAAACAGGCTTTTGCACCCAAGCTAAACATTTCAGACTGCTAATGTTCTACTGGGTATTTCCTGAAAAATAATCAGGGATAAAACAATCATTCCCCTGAATTAGATAACTGCTGAAGAAGTTTAAGACATTTATATGTTCCAGAAACACGAGTGAGATATGAAAACAAGACTAAGATGTCAACTAGTAGTCGTTGTAAAATCCTTGCTAAACAGAGGAGAACCTCTGACTACGTGAAACACACAACTTTGCCAGGAGTAAAATCCATTTCTTACCACTGTCAAGACCATAGAAGTTAAGAATACAACCTTAGTTCATCATCACCATCATTATTAGCTGGATAAGAAAACTAAGTTTGCAACTGTGATCACAACCTTAAATGTTTTTACTACTTTCATACAACAAAATATGCTACTTTAAGGAGTGATATTTAGCAGAAAGCACGTGTCTTCAGAAGAACATTTGAGAAGATCAGTATCAGTAACAAGACTCTGAAAGAGTAGGCTATCCCTCACACATGCCTGCTTCACTCCTTCACCTGCTTCTTTCTCACTTTGAGTGTAAGACTCAAATATTATCAACAACCATTACACAGGCAACTGCCAATTCTTCATTGATGGTGCAGAGTGGGAAAGAGGAGGCCTTGAGCACTGCTCAGTGTCACGACCCACTCAGAAGAGGGAGGTGAGTGACTCAGATTTGCAAATCCCCAGCAGCATGGACTAAGATGAGACACAACTGTACAAGCATCCACAGTTTGCTACGGGGCTCCTTAAAAATCATTGCTGGTAAAACAGGATTTCTACTAAGAACAAAGCAGCATATCTTTAGCCAGGTCTTTGTCAATTCGGCAGCTCTCAATTCCATCAAACAGGGGCTATATCCCCAGGAATTCCTCTGGCAAAGGGCTCTCCAGAACCTGGGAGGTTATCCGGTTCCATTCTAAAGAAACTTACAGCAAAGGACACGTGACTAAAGATAGAAGTCTCTGAGCGTTAGGAAGAGAGAAAGAACAAGAGCGGGACAGATTCACTTTCTCAAAGTGAGGAGAATTTATACCTGTTCTTAAGTTTGTGATGAGCAGAGTGAAGGTGTCTGGTGTGGGATTTGGACATACCTGCTCTGCTTCCACCCCTCTCTTCTTCTCCTCCTGTCTATCTCTCCATCTGTCTCTATTCTGTTCTGTGGAGACCTGTGGTGGTGCAACCCCTCCTTTATACTGATTTTTCCCAGGCTCAAAACCCACAAGAACGGTTGTTACAAAATAACAGAACCAAATTTAGATTGCTGGTATAATTTCACATTTACCAAACCTATAATTGCATTTTATGTTTGGAGCCACAAAACCCCAGATCTATGACTTGATTTTACAATTGGCACGCGCAATACATGGAACTCGTGCACAACGGCATGGCCATGGATCCATGCTCCCATAGGCTATAATGGATACACACCCAATACTTACCCTACCCAAATCTCTAAATTTGTCTCTAGTAGTGTTATGCAATAATTTTGTCTTCCATAAGCAAAAATGGATCATAAAAGATGAAGATAAAGATTGGCAAATCCCACCTCTAAAAGGAACAAGTGGAGACACCATTTCAGTAGGTTGCCGAATTGAAAACCGTACTGAGTGTACAACAGCTTTACACATTCCTGTAGGATATACTGAAAACAAATTTGAACGTGATTTTGACCATGCACATGCTTGTCTTTATGGACATGAATGTTGGTCTACCTTTACCATATGCCGCTCAGTACTCATAACGTGCTTCTGGGCCGACTTCAAATCTCATTCCAGTTTGGTTTTCCAATTCAAAATCGAAATTCAACAGTCACCTTTTCCAATTTGGCCTCCTACTAAACTGTCTCCTCACATTTATAACACAGGCCCCTATATAATTAAAAATAAAGGGCAACAGCGAGTTCTCTTTAACCCCAGTTGGTTCCTAAAAAGAACGGAACTAGCGCTGCGCGTTAACATGTCAAGAACTAGACCAGACTGTTCTACCTTTCCGGGAGCCGCTGACACTGGCTGGCTAGCATAGCCACATGGACAATCTTTTAACAATAAACAATCCCGATGCGTATGATGGGATCCCACTGTGTTATTTGGAACAGGATGAGGAGTACTAAATTACATAGACACTGAAGTCCTAATGAACAAACTGCTACTATCAATGACCCAAGCAAACTGGTACGCCCACTAAGGTCAACTTTATCAACCTGGGAGCAAGTCAATGACTCCTATCAGACATTTTACCACATTGGGAACAAACTGAAGAATATGATAATCAATTAATTGTAAGAGCCCTTGGAGCATGCCAAGGTAGTACCTCTCTTGCCTTGAGTTGCATCCAAGCATGACCGTGGACACAGTCTATAGCAGCAGCCATTATTAGAGACAGAGGAGGAACCCAACTCACTGAAGTTCATAAATTGATTTGGGACTGTGGCAGCAAGAGAGAGACTTCACTGTAAAGTTCAAACTGACAATTTATTTGAACTTCACTCGCAGGTCCAATATACACCACTATTACAGGTTTTATGGATATAATGGAAGAACGCTCTATTGCAATTTAAAAAGCAATTCACAGGATACGCTATCACAACCTACAAGTCATTCCCAGAATGTACTAACACAAACCACACGCACACTACATATTAATACCTTAGAAGAGCGTACTAATCACAACCTTAAAGCATGCCAAATACCATGTGTATGTTTCTTGATCACTCTCAGGTAAAACCTCCTAATCCTTGAGACCTTACCTTGTATGGCATCCCAGACAAGGGGGGAAGTATCTCCTAGAGGCCAGCTGTATCACTGGAAAAGACCCCCCAGTTTTCTGCCTGGACCTTGTGTTTTTTGGGGTTTATTTCCAGATTCGACAGGTGGGCAGGATTATAATACCTAGAATTATTATCTTTGGTGGAGTGACAGCCCCTTAGTCCGTACTGCTAATTTTGTGACGTCTAGTACAAACTTACTGAATAGTGGTAGAATGGGATTCAGGGCATTTTAATGCCCATTAATCCATGTTAATGGATTATTCAAGGTTCCATTTGGGTTTTGGCTCTCAGAATGATGCAGTGTTAAGGTAACCCAGGGCTAAGCAGCATGCGCCCCACCCCCCCATCTCTGCATAGATAAGGATTTGTCAAAGCTCCCTACCTTTTGCCTTTGTTCTCCAAAACCTTTTTAGCCAGAGGATCCCATACAGGGAGAACGCCTCAGAATTTGAAAAGGAGCTTCAATCACGGTGGCAATTATCACACAGAACTTCACTTATCACACAGAAAGTGATAAGACTGTTGCCTTTGTCCTCGATATTTGCAGTGCTTTACCCAATCATTGCATTAGAACTGAATCACACTGAAACCATACTCTATATCTTAGAGCGCAGAGCGTGGGTCAACCAAAAGGAGGAAAAATAGCAAAGAATGATGTAAATGCGTGCACTAAAAAAACAAGGTTTCATTTGTGAAAGCAACACTCTTGAAACTCAAGATACCTGTTTAACATGGATCAATTCTCTGGGACAACATCAAGTTTTAGCCCTACATACTCTTTCCACTTTTCTGCTTTTTCAGTTTCAGTCATTTGAGATTTCACAATTTCTAAAAAAAACCTCACAATATTTCCATTTCAAAGAGAAAGTATAGACAAAGAGATTCCATGACCAAACTCTTCTCTGCATCTGACACCTACATAAGGCATAGGCATCAGTCCTGGCGTCGCACAGCCAGGTCACAAAGACTACACTTTCCCCTGCTGAGTCACATAAGGAAGGGGCAGAAATGTGGGGTT